TTAGGAGTTGGTAAACCCTCGAAATTTCCCCACGACACCTGATTCCCACAGAGATGAGATATAGTGCTTTTAGTCTATAAGTGCCCCCCAGCCTACTATGCCACTAAACATTTCCAGCACGCAGTAGGTCGCAATTTCATCGTATTCACCGACCGTAGACCATTAACGTATGCTCTGCATACAAAGTCTAACTGCTACTCACCACGAAAATGCGGATATTTGAACTACAGCTGCACCAAATGCCCTGGCCTGACTGAGAGTGGGGAGAGTACGCTTGCCCTCTCGAAATGCTCTGACATAGTCACGCGTAAATAGCCTCTGCCAAAGAAGTCCTACTCACTGCCTTCTCGTGATATTACTGTTGTTTAGGAAATTGAAAGAACGAAAAGAGAATTTTCGGCGCTTTGCCTGGGTTGGTGGACACGGAGAGTCCACCTAGGGGAGTCGGGAGACCCTCATTCCAAACAATTGGTGCACATGGGATTCAGTACCCTGAAGGAGCAAATGGCGTATGAACCAATCGTTCATCACCGGCTACCATGGGACTACATCTCCTTACGTTGCTCAACTGCCTTGTAGACAGAACTTCGTTAAAAGCAAGTCGAACTATGTTGCTGATACTGTTACGTAACCAAGTGAATGCAGTTAATTAACCGGTGCTTGATCTCTCTGCTATGGCTGTCGCACAAGCAAGCGATCTCTCCTGCACGGAAGCACAACATTCTACATCCTTTCAGTGCCGAGAAGTACCCTTAGCTATTAACTCAAATACTATCTTGTGTGATACTTCTACTGGTCTTTCCCGACCTATCGTACCCTCTGATTACCGTTTACTTGCCTGCACTGCTCTGCATGGACTGTTTCATCCAGGTATCGCAGCTACATTACGCCTCATCGCTGCACGATACGTCTGGCCGTCCATGAATAAAGATATCCGTATATCGGTAAAGCAATGTTTACAATGTCAAACATCGAAAGTGCGCCGGCACGTAGCTGCGTTCGCTATGCCTAATGCTCCCTTAGATCACGTCCATATAGACCTTGTGGGACCACTGCCACCATCGCACGGGTATGATTACATATTCATGTGCATCAATCGTTTTACAAGATGGACCGAAGCTATCTCTATCACGTCTATACAGCGGAGACAGTTGCTTGCCGCTTCATAGAACGAGTCCGAATCATTCTCCTCGCTCGGTATGGAACGCATACGTACTACCGCCTACCACCCAGCATTAAGCGGTCTAATTGAACTGTTTCGTCGCCAACTTGAAAGTGTTCTTCGAGCACACGAAAACATCAATTAGTACGGAACCTTACCACTCGTCTTCTTAGGTATCAGAACGAGCTTAAAGCTAGACATTCAATGTTCCGCCGCTGAACTTGTATACGGTACGACCTTTCGTCTGCCTGGGGAATTTTTCACGGAGCACTAACGATTCAGGTAAATCAAACTACGCCCAACGACTGTCTAGATTTATGCGAACACTGCCTCCGGTGTCAACTCGAATACAACATCGGTACCATGAAAGTAATCGCTACATATCGAAAGTGTAAGACCTGTTTAGCGGAAAGCTTCTGTAGTGACCTACTTTAATGAAGAGAACGCGATTGGCGTAAGGGAAACAACTACTATTATAATCAATTGTTCCAGTGATTGTTTTACTGTACTTAATTGTTTGGGTACCAGAAATAACTATGTCTTCGAGTCGCTATCGACTATGATCCTCACTACAGGAAGACTACGTGCCAGTTACCAGGTTTGACACCTCCGCATGCCAAATATCAGAAGGCACTTGAAGGGTGTAGTATGATGTATTTGTTGGCAATCTCGTGACATCAAAATAATACCGAGATCGTGCCAAAATCCACAGGTGAGACTGCTGAGCGTACCAGAGTTCGTGTAAGGTCACAAACAACGGAATTGTATTTTCTGGTACACTTAAACAAGCAAGTACAGTAAAACAATCACTGGGACAACTGGTTATAATAATAATTACTTCCATTATACCAATCGCATTCTCTTCACAAAAGTAGATCACTACAAGTTATTGATAGAGCTTTAAGAAAACTCCAAATTACCCTCCCCAAACAATATAGACGAAAATTTTAACATGAGCAACTATGCTGACCAAAATATTCAGTTATAACTAAGTAACTTCCTCACAGAATTACAGTGCATCTATCGAGTAGTCAAATCTTCCATGTAAAAGAATATTTTGTCGCCTCACATTGTCTAAATTCATATCCTTAAGCAAAACACTACCGATTAATAGCGAGGGAATAATAGATGCCTAGCGAATGATTGTGAGCATGCGCAAACCTCCTATGTCACTTACATCATATACGTTTAACATACGTTGTTAATAGATCCAATCAAACGAATTTTATAACTTCTGCCTTCGTGCCTTTTACATAGAATCGATTTTGTATCACCTGATAGAAAAAGTGTTTTCTGGTTGGTAAATAACATCCTGTTTATTAGGAATTACAAACAAACACCTAGTTGTTCTTTGTGTGCACCATTTCGACCACGAACATTACCATATTTATATAGCTTCGAAATTTAAAAACGAGATTCCAACCCACGAACATGGGTATAGTGCAGTTTAACAGACTAAAAATGTCCACATTAATAGTCACGTAAAATCGGAAGTCAGGTGTCAAATACAAGTATCCAAGAACCATTCTCACATTTGGCATATTTTGTTCCGGTACTCATTGCCGCGAACTGGGTAAACGAATGTGTACGATGCTAAACAGGATATTTCGACATATGTCTCTGGTATTGTTGTCCGATCTTACGGAATCAGAAAATATGCCACGATACGTAGAAAAGATATTAGCCTTCGGCAGTGAGACCAATGTAAATTCTAGAAGTCTGAGATTAATACTATAAAAATAAATAAAATATGATTGAACGATCCTTTCTCCAAAAAGCACAGTCACCAATTACAACAACACCAAGTACAAACAAACTATGAGACATCCAGCGAACAAATCGTAAAGAATACAAACTGATTATTTGTCAAACACAAAAAGTATCCCATCAAGCAAGGAACAATGTTCTATCTAAAGGAAAGAGATAGAGAAACTCAGTTTGCCCAAATGTTAACATTCAAACTATAAGATAAAATTAAATAAGAATTTAACAATCGTACAACTAATTGCTTGCTAACAATGATAAACATTCCCAACAAGCAGGGAGTATATTGCTTTCCCAGTGCGATAAAACGAAAGCAACCGATTAACACAAGAACTATCAGTATGACAGTCGCTAAAACAGAATGCTAACAAAAAATTGGAACAGTTATTGGAAACCCAACAACATCAGTGAATTAACCAATTCCAGAATCTGCAAACAATGTGGTAAAATGACTGCCAGGTACACTTGCTAATGGTTAGTATTTCAACAAATCTATAACAATGGAGCATTTGGATGTTAACAAAGCTTGTTATTAAAACATAAGAGTTAATTATAATCATAGTTGGTTAGTTGTATGCATCGATTGAGCTAGTGATCCTAATCTGAATACTAATCGACACCGTAATAAGACAGTTCATGTTAGCAACATTCAATGAACCAATCAAATCATGGATCAAAATGAATAAAATTTATCAGGGGAAGTTATAGGATATGTGACCATTAATAACTGGTTGAGTGATTCCTAGTTGGTCTCACCAATGTAGCATTGCACTCCAAAATCGAAGTTAAATCCAAAGTGATGTAGTTTGAATTTTGAGAAAACCGTGGCGAAACGTAAGATACTTGTTCTTTCAAAGTTTAGGGAAATTGTTCTCGAATATCGATCATTTGAATACAAATCACTACATCGTAATTTCTATCGGAGATATTATTTCAGGCATCTGAAACTATCCATATCTGTCTGCTTTTAGAGCATTCCAACACAAATACTGCAAAAGTTCGAAGTCAGCTGTTACTTGCGGCGCTTACCAACTTATCGAATAACAAACGCTGGATGTTGAGAAACGGATAGTTACCAATCACAATGTTTGCTTTCGGCGAAAAAAAACAGAATTCAACTATAGCGACCAATCAAAGTATAAACGTTTTTCCAACCGATTGTGAATCTCTAGTTAGGAAACAGTAATATTAAGTAATTTTATACTAATCTCCAGTAGAAGGACTAAAATACTATTGTTCACAATTATACAAGGGTATATAAATACTATAACTACGACTGTAGTTACTGCCGGTCCCAAGCCGGGATAGACGAGGGTTCAGCAACTCAACCCCGTAGAAAACAGCCTTGACAAAAAGCACTAACCAGAAAGAAACAATTATTCTGGTCAGCGGACTATGCTCCTCCGCGAGGGGCAACAGGTGTAAGTATGTTCACTACAAGTCAACATATATAAGCCATGATATTCAGTAAAGAGAAACAATCTAACCTATTCTACGTACGATAGTAAAAATATGAAAAATTTACAGCTAATTTATATCTTCTACCATGTAATGTAAATGGATGACCGGGAAAGATAGTCTAAAAGTTAGTAATTTAGTTGTTATTGCTTTTTCAGTATCTTAAATATTTACGCTAGTTATTTGTTTCGACAATGGTGTATGAGACAAAAACCAACTTGACAAATGTTTTCTATAGTCAGAAAAACGACATAATGAAATTGGAAACATTTTAACTAATAGTCTGTAAAAGAGTATGATAGGAAGAAGAACCTTGAACTTATAGCCCTACGATTAAAAGTCAAACGCCCAAATGATAATTTAATATATGTAGCTATAATGTTAGAAAAAAAACCAGCAATATAGTAATTAAAAGGAATAAGGCATTACAATAAACAGAAGTAGAAAATAATATCGATAACAATGGTAAGATTGGCATACAAATGCTGTATATCGTAATTATAGCGTCGGTAGAGGGAGAAAAAGTTTGATAGTTTAATCTACATCGTTTATTATATACAAAATTGTCTACAAAAAATGAAAAGTGAATCTAAGTATCATAAGACATAGTAAACTTCTATGTATTTGTCGGAGAATTCGATTTAACAGGTGTTTCACTAGAAAATATCGACATCGTTTTTGGATCGATCCAAGAAAACCCTTGACTTACAAATTTTTCCTCATCATCATTGGAATCTTTGAATCTCTATTTTCAGTTTAAAGAAAATAAAGTGATAGCATTTAAGAAACATAAACAACTTATGAAATAAAATATAATGTTTACAAAAAACCATAATAACAAGAAGTTACTTTTATGTTATATGACAAGAAGTAGTCTTCAGGAAGCCATGAACTAAACAAAAACAATAGTGGTGAACATGCACACTGATATATTACTATAAAATTTAATTTATTAACTATGCAGGGAAGACGGACTTCTAAATAGCTGACATCTGTCTATAGTACTAGATAGTATCGGAGGATAGTTGCTAAAAATGCTACAAATATTTGTTGCTTCTTAACAATTTTTTTAGAAATCTTTCCTGCATTAACTATGTCATTTTTTTTTTTATTTAGTCTGTCTTGCACATTAGTAATACCATTTTATTAACTAGGCTTTATTGTGTAATCACTTGTTTCTGGCTCTTTGAAGTCATGTTACAATCAGCGTTGTAGAATGTTCTTTTACATATATATTTACAATATTTAGTCTACATCTATTTACACACTTCTTATACTATACTGATGTGTCTTCAAAATAACTTCCAAATAAACTTTTATGTAAGTAATTTAAACCCATTTTGTAATTGTTTTTAAATATCAACGGTTGTAAGCAGCTGACGAAAACTAAACGAAGTAAAATGAATTCATGCTATTCTGCTAGAATCCTTGTTTTTGATCTCTTCAACATTTCGAACAATTTGATCATATACATACCTGGTAAATAAAAGGTCAACTAGACACATTAGGACTCAAGATAATAAGGAAAACTAGGTTATATAATAAATCAGTATGACCGAAGTGGTTTCCAGGTGAGAACAAAGTGTTGTTGAATGCAAAGAGATAGTAGATGATAAATGTGACACTGATGACTGTTTGCTAAAGAAACTCAATATACTTTAAAATATTTGCTTGACGTGTGAAGAGGTGAGCAACAGAAGTTTATCCGAAATTTTATCACTTTCTATGTTGTGCATATCTCATTCGAAACATGATAAAAATAGTGTGTTACTAAGCGAACTATTCTTAACTGTAAATGGAATTGTGGAGGGTGCAATCGGAGATTGTTTGGTTGTCCTTCCGCCTGACAGTAACTAAAAATGTGCACAGGTAAACAGAAATTTTTATACTAAACCAGTCTGTATTGTAGTTTTCGAAATCATCTACCCGTGGTTGAAAAATCAGACGCCGGATCTCATCTAGCGTATACAAGATCAATTATTATTGAAACACAAATAGTGAAATCCATTCCGGCTAGCTGCTCGACTCCCTGAACAATGAAATACCACTTTGGTGGAGACAATACAGAATTCAGAAACCCCACAAATTAACAAGAAATACTCACGTACCTATATCAATCTTCAATCTGTTTCTGTAGGCTGAGAACTGAATGAAAGCATGTGTTCAAGAGCAAAAAACAGACTACCCCAATAATTGGATCTAAAATTCAAATTCATCGTCTGCGGGGAAAAACTGACACCTGCCGCATGTCAGTTATTGAAGCGTTATCTACGCCTACTTATGACAGAGATGGTTACATCAGTCGATATGTGTACAGTCGTTGAAGAAATAGGCACCTTCAACATATACGGCAACATGACCAACTGTTCCTGCCACTTTTAAACTGAAAACGGATTGCTGTGCTGACATATGATTGTCCATTGGTAACATACTAACACAGACGTTTGCACAGAAATTGCTAGTCCAAGGTGGTTGCTATCTTATAACAAACTCTTCAGTGAGACTGTCGAAAACTATTTCCCTATCCATGAAATACAGCTGAGTAAGCAGAGAATTTCCTGATAGATTCAGAGTACGCAGGACCAGCAGTTTGAGAAGATTTAAAATATTAACTATAACAATTTATGGGAAGACTATCTTGGGTGTAATCAAGTAGGCTTGAGCCTCCCCAAAGCAGTGTATCCTCCTATGGCTGATGAAATGCCAAGAAACGAAGCCTTTAATCATTACACTTATCCAGTGAACGTGAATTCGAATACAACCCCAATTCATCAAGAAGAGGATGATGTGCTGTTGATTAACTGGGGAGAGTTTAATGACGGAGATAATAACATGGACGAAGATGTGAACCCTAACGGACTTTTTAACATGCTCGGCCACCAAGTGAAAATGCAATGGCAGTGACTTGCACCGTTTATCAGTGTAATGCAATCTTTCAATCACTGTAATTAGAAACCACGTCCTCAGTCTCCTGGTTTCAATAGTATGACATATAGTGTAATTACATAAAATTAATGGGACAAATTATTTTGGGAACGTCTAATATGTATTTCATTTTTTGACCGACAATTTAACTTCTACCCATTTTAACCTTATTACGAGGTGAACATGGAAAACAATTCACCGTAGGGTATACAGTCATTGAAAGATGTTATATCCATAAGGAATCTGTGTAGACTAAGAACAAAGAGACAGAAAAACTCTCTTTAAAATCACCTGTAAAATGGTTTAAATTTTTCTAATAACTTTAACAGGTGCTGATATTTCTCTGTATTATTAGAAATTTAAGAGATAAATTTTTACAATTTTACATTGCATTTACAATTTCTGTATTTTTGAATAGAGTGCAATGTATACATGGTTAGCATTAGCGCTCTATGAACATATATCGTGGTTGATGAAGTTGACCTGTAGATATACATTAGACGACATAAAGGACAAAATAATTGAATATTTAATCCCAGATTGGTTAAACTATATTGATGCTGTAATAAAGGCCATACAATTTCGAATTCTCTACCTTAATCAATTTATGGTTTCTTACTTATTTTTAGTTCTTTTGCACAATCATTAATTAGTTACTATTACAATACTTCATGAACAGTTGCTATCACTAATCTTCGTTTTAGTAATTTTCTTAGATGTCTAAATCATTACATACAACCCCTGTTTGATGAGTGTTTTTCTCTGGGATAATTTATTACTCAGTACCATCTTAGTGTTGATGACTTTGTGAGATTAAGCAACACCTTTCTACTAGATTACGGACTATCATTACCTAAAATTACAGTATTTGGATTAGTGTAGATAATTTTGGCTCAATAATTCAAAAGCCATCTATTTTATTAAAGATAATTATTTTCAAAAATAACCTATAGATCAAGTGTCTTCGTTAAATTTTCTTAACCAGTATGGGGTTGTGGAGACTATTAGGTTGTTGATTGCGATCATGAAGCGACTGATGTGAGACCACCATTGAAAACCTGGAAGCACTGGACGGAGGACACACTGCTGAGTAGTCCCACAATAGGACGAGGCAGCCGTCTAGTACTTCCAGGTCTTCAATGGTGGTCTCATATCAATCAGTTTATGACCTGAATCAGAAATTTTATTTAATTCTTATTAATTTATGGAAGTGTAAACTGTTCAATCATGCATTAATATTAGACTCATTACACGTCTAGCATTAATTGAACGTATTATGTACATATGAGTTATCATGGTTATTTATTTGCATTTGTAAACACCTATTACAATGTTTACCCACCTAAATCCAATACTGAAATGATGCATTAGAATAATTCATCAAACTAGCTGGACGGAGAATAACCATTTTCATGTGGACTTTTATGTTTCATCATTTTTCAGGTTCAATAATCACTAGTGTAATTAGAAATCTATGTTGATTGACAAGAAACTCACCATTATTGCCATTTTTTTAGTTTCTTTAGGATGAAATGATTGGATTTTTTAATTTACAAAGAAATTATATGCACGTAATTTTTACTAATTTTTTTCTTGTTAGAATAATTTATTTATTATTTATTTATTTATTTCAACACATAGATAATGGTACAAAGAGGCACCAAATACATATGCGCCACACAAATCTCATTCGATATGTGTGAGGGCTGTGATACTGCCCGGGTGCTCAAACCGAAGCAGGTGGTTTTCTTAGGGAGCCACACCCCGAGCCTTCGACCTGAAGGTCTGATCCACAAGGCAGTGGAGCATCGTAAGGAGATGCAGTCCCATGGAAGCCGGTGACCAACAATTGGTTCATTCGCCATTTGTTCCCGCAGGATACTGGAGCCCATGTGCACCATTGGTTTGGAATCCGGTTAAAGCGCCGGACATTCGCTTTTCGTCCTCTCATTTTCGTAAACAACATCCCCGCCACGAGAAGGCAGTGAGTAGGACTTCCCTGGCAGAGGCTATATACGCGTGGCCGTGTGAGAGTATTTCGAGAGGGAGAGCGGACTCTCCCCACTCTCGGCCGTACCAGGGCATTTGAGGGCGTTAGAATAATTAATCAAATCAATTTAAAAAATTAAGTTCAGTTCTGATAAATTTAGTCTTTTTATTGAATTATCCAAACCAAACGCCAAATTTAAGTTACACATCAATTGTGGTTTGCACCAATCTTACATATGATTTCAGCAATTTAGTCCAAAACTTCCTTCCATCGAAATATAAGGATGATGATAATAACGATAATAGTAAAAATCCACTTTAACATCACTTGGTACCGGATATAAAGCGATTTGCCTGATGAATGTACAGTCACATTAATTTCTTTTCAATGAAATTCAAACTCAGCACTTATTGGTTAAAACCTCAGCCTGTTAATTACTGTGATACATATAAACCCAACTGAATACAATTAAACAATGTTTAGCATTCCTATACTGTTCAATATCATAGGGACAGTTGAAGCATTAACAAAAGAAATCCATGTATCTTTCATGTTATCCTCTCTGAGCTACATAGTTTGATTGGGAAGTTTTATCATCGTTTTAGATAATATTAAAGTTCGTATGCCAATAATCACTAGACCATTCCGATATGATGGTCTGTAATTAAGCCCAACAGTCAGGTCTTAAATTATTAGACAGTGAGTGACCTAAAAACTGATTTCCTTCGATAGCTTATGACATTTCATGTTTTTGTGTTAATATTTTGTGTTATTTTACAGCGTAAAAAACTACTCTTCTAGCCAGTAGTCTTGTTTATGTTTTCGAATTGACAGCTGCCAACATTTAAGGGCGGAAATATCTAGGAATATTGGTGTAGACTTTAAAGATAACCTTGGAATCGGTAAATGAATTAGATGAAAAAAATACTAGCAATGGATATTGTACTTCGCAAACGACCACAGGCGGTCAAATAAGGAAACTTATTGTGAACACATACAGAGAACTAGTTTGCGATATGTAAACATTAGTGTAGCATTACAGTAAGGATTCCCCTAATCGATTCGAATAAACGGTTCTTAAGTATCAGTGTTTTGTGACTGTTGAAGTTATTTGAACGTACCGTCTTAAGATAAGATTTATAGTCCATTCATTAAGTCCACCTTATATATTTATGTTCGTCAGCCCGATAAACGGGATTACCTAACCACAACTTGTGGATGCTTACTCATAATGGCCAGAAATTTTGTGGATAGTGCTACCATTCATCAAAAGAATCTTCCAGCTATTGATGAAGACTTTTGGTATATATTGGGCTGCTGGACACCAATATGCTGTTCAATGGGTAGAAATTTATATGGTTACACTACTAAGGCTTCTGTCGATGGCCTACAATCAACCGTAAGTGTTCATCACCTTATCACTCACAGCTCACTGACTAGACAAATGTTTCCTAGATGACTGCAACTTATGCAACAATTCTCTCGAACTATCTGGGCAGTTGCTTCACATATAGAAAAACTTCAACACCTAAACGGTAAGCGTACGGAAAAGAGTATTCTTTTCTTCAAGTGTTCCTTCTACAAAACTCCGCCTGTAGCTCTCATAGGGTTACTGCCGGTCCCAAGCCCGGGTAAAGGAGGAGGGTGGGGCATGGGGTTAGCGAACCCATCCCGTAGAAAACTAACTCGTTAAAAAAACGCTTGCCAGAAAAAATAATCCAAACTATTTAAACTCTGCCCTGGGAGTTAGAAGGTCTTCATTTAGAAGAATTATGACGCCTCATGATGAAAGCCGAGTTCTTTCGGAAGCCACGAGGTCGATGCCCCTTCTAACAACCAGAGCAAAAATTTTTATAGGTACATGGAACGTTCGAACAATGTGGGAAACCGGGAAGACCAGTCAAATAGCAATGGAAATGAGGAGATACAACTTAGCAGTACTGGGAATCAGCGAAACCCATTGGACCCAAGCTGGACAGAAAAGGCTAGCTACGGGAGAGATGCTGCTATACTCCGGCCACAAAGAGGAAAATACTCCACACACTCAGGGAGTCGCTCTTATGCTGTCCAAAGTAGCACGAAATGCACTTCTAGCATGGGAATCTCACGGATCCAGAATCATCAAAGCATCATTCAAAACAAAGAAGGAGGGGATCTTAATGAATATTATCCAATGTTATGCACCCACCAATGATAGCAACGACGACATTAAAGATCAATCCTACGAGTGGCTGCAATCAATCATAGAGCATTGCCCAAGAAAGAACCTCACCATTCTGATGGGAGATACAAACGCCAAAGTCGGAATAGACAACACTGGATATGAAGATATTATGGGACGACATGGACTGGGAGAAAGAAACGAAAATGGAGAAAGATTTGCAAATCTATGTGCATTCAACAAATTGGTCATAGGAGGCACAATATTTCCACACAAGCGTATACACAAGGCTACATGGATCTCACCGGACCACACTACAGAGAACCAAATAGATCATATTTGCATCAACAAAAAATTCCGAAGGACAATGGAAGATGTGAGAACCAGGAGAGGCGCTGACGTAGCTTCAGATCACCACCTAGTTGTGGCCAATTTAAAACTGAAGCTAAAAAAGAACTGGACAAGTGGACAAACAGCACTACAAAGGTTCAATACAGCCTTCCTTCGAGATACTGACAAAATGAATTCAAGATAGCTCTCAACAACAGGTTTCAAGCCTTACAAGATCTACTGAAAGAAGAAGAAACTAGTATGGAGGATAACTGGAAAGGCATCAAAGAAGCATTAACTTTAACGTGTCAAGAGGTTCTGGGTCTAAAGAAATACCATCATAAGGAGTGGATCTCTACAGAAACACTGGACAAGATCAAAGAAAGGAAGAACAAGAAGGCAACAATAAACAACAGCCGAACACGAGCAGAGAAAGTCCAAGCACAAGCTTAATACATAGAAGCAAACAAACAAGTGAAGAGGAGCATTAGAGCCGACAAGAAGAAATACGTGGAAGAACTAGCAACGACAGCAGAAAAAGCTGCAAGAGAAGGAAATATGAAACGGCTTCACGATACAACGAAGAAACTAGCAGGGAAATACAGTAAACCAGAGAGACCGGTCAAAGACAAAGAACGCAAGCCAATCACCGAAATTCAACAACAGCGGAACAGATGGGTAGAATACTTCGAGGAACTCCTGTATAGGCCGGCTCCAATGAATCCACCGGACATCGAAGTGGCACACACAGATCTTCCCATAGACGTCGACCCACCAACGAAGGAAGAAATCAGAATGGCCGTCAGACAAATCAAGAACGCGAAAGCAGCGGGTCCGGACAACATACCAGCTGAAGCACTGATGTCAGACATCGAAGCAACTACAAACATGCTTCACCTTCTATTCAAAAAGATCTGGGAAGAGGAACAAGTGCCGATGGACTGGAAAGAAGGGCACCTCGTCAAGATTCCAAAGAAAGGAGATCTGAGCAAATGTGAAAACTATAGAGGCATTACACTGCTGTCAATACCAGGGAAGGTCTTCAACAGAGTGTTGCCGAACAGAATGAAAGACGCAGTAGACGCCCAACTTCGAGATCAACAAGTTGGATTCCGTAAGGATCGATCATGCACAGACCAAATTGCAACACTACGGATCATCGTCGAACAATCAGTTGAGTGGAACTCATCACTATACATCAACTTCATTGATTATGAAAAAGCATTCGACAGTGTAGATAGGAGGATGTTATGGAAACTTCTTCGACACTACGGAGTTCCTGAGAACACTGTCAACATTATCCCGAACTCATACGACGGACTACAGTGCAAAGTCGTGCATGGAGGACAGCTGACAGATGCAGTCCAAGTAAGGACCGGAGTCAGACAAGGCTGTTTACTCTCTCCCTTCCTCTTTCTTCTGGTGGTCGACTGGATTATGAAGACCTCGACATCTGAAGGAAAACACGGAATACAATGGACAGCTCAAAATCAATTAGACGATTTGGACTTCGCAGATGACCTAGCCCTCTTATCGCATACACACGAACAGATGCAGATGAAGACAGCCAGTGTAGCAGCAGTTTCTGCATCAGTAGGCCTCAGTATACACAAAGGGAAAACCAAAGTCCTCAAATTCAAAGCGGAAAACAACAATCCAATCACTCTTGATGGCGAAACTCTGGAATATGTAGAGTCCTTCACATACCTAGGAAGCATCATCGATGAACAAGGAGGTTCAGATGCAGACGTAAAGGCAAGGATTGGCAAAGCAAGGACAGCATTCCTACAGTTAAAGAACATATGGAACTCAAAACAACTTTCAATCAATATCAAAGTGAGAATCTTCAATACCAACGTCAAAGCAGTTCTACTGTATGGAGCTGAAACTTGGAGAACTACAACAACCACAATCAAGAAGGTACAAGTATTTATAAATAGCTGTCTACGCAAGATACTCAACATCCATTGGCCGGATACCATCAGCAATAGCCTTCTGTGGGAGAGAACAAACCAACTTCCAGCTGAAGAAGAAATTAGGAAAAGACGATGGAAATGGATAGAAGATACATTACGCAAATCGTCAAAGTGCATCACGAGGCAAGCGCTAACTTGGAATCCTGAAGGGAAGCGAAAAAGAGGAAGGCCAAAGAACACATTGCGTCGGATAATAGAAGCAGATATGAAAACGATGAATTACAACTGGACGGAGCTAGAAAGGATTGCCCAGGACAGGGTTGGATGGAGAATGCTGGTGAGCATCCTATGCTCCTTCACGAGGAGTAACAGGCGTAAGTAAGTAAGTTCCTTCTATAAGCTGAAACATCTCACGATAACCTACATGTAATTATAAAAGTGTAATAAAAAATATTGACTTTTGCTTCATCCTCACGATGCTGAACTAACAGTTTACCCTTGCCTTGTATCCGATGCATTCATTATCAACTCATCCTTCAAAGCTTCTTGTAAAAGTTTAGTAGTTCGTGAGATTTACATCAAACCTTATAATTTACATTATTCATGCGTCAAAGATTTCCGATAATATACTAGTCAAGTCAATGCCAGGATGAAATCCGGCTCCGCATGAAATTGACCTGAACTTACAAGCTGAAAAAATACTACATTTTTCGTAGCAATGACAATGAAGATTTTCCGAATAAATATCTTGACAATTACCTGCAGTAAATCTCGTGCATCACTCAGTATACTGTCATTCATCCATCCAGAAAGACTAATAAAAAAAAACAATGAAAATTCATGGTTAGTAAACACAAAATCTCACTAGTGAACGACAACTCAGGTGGGGGAAACCAATTTATTGTTTAATGCAAAATTACTGAATGCCTTCGTACATATGAAAACCATACATTTAATACATTATTTGCACATCTTCCTTCATTTATCTTTTACATCTTTCACGGTTCTTTTAATCCTGTCGTTATTACAACTACCCTTTGTTTCCCTTTCTGTTCTCTTCAATTCAATCTTTTTATTCTGGTGCTATCAGACATTCCACTTCCAATTGGTGCTACATACTACTTATATCTGTTAGCATAAGTAGTATGCACCATAATAAGACCAGTAACAAAAGTTGATTCTCAAGAGATTTCTTTTATATAATACAATACACTTTTATGTAACTCGTCGACCTTCCATTCCCTGAGTACACTGTTAAAACCTTAATATATTTACAAATTTTATTTAATCAAATTAGTTTGATGAGCCGTGAACTCCATAGAATAACTTTTTATGAACCTGTCATCAAGCATACAATTATATTATTTAGTAGTAAATCATAAGTTGAGTAGTTTAATTCATTCAACTGATTATTTATACATTTTTAAATGACACTATTTTACTTAAAAAGGAAAATTAGGACTTCATGTAGATATAATCTGAAGTGAGTTATACTGATCTGATGAATCCCGAGATTTGACTAAATAATCCATTAATACCGTTGGATATCAACCCATTAATCTAGAGTTCAGGTGTTTGAATGCGAGATTAAAGATCTTGAGTCCGATTCCCGAGCACGAAGTCGTGGATGAGTATGTCCAAAAACTTCATACTAGGATGAAACAGGCGTGCAGTGCTTTCAAGTTTTTAATAGTGATCTAACGTTGATCGCTTTATGATTTCAATGCACAAGAAATAAAAATTTTAAAACAAGCTGTCCAGTAAGTGTCGAAGTCACCCAAAAATTGTCTAGATTACTATTATTTTAACAGCTGAATTTACGGGTTAATCATCGTTGTCTCCGAAGGATTGCTGACATTCAGTGGCAACACCATGTCAGTAATGCAGAGGTTCGGCATCGTGTGTTCGGGCACAGAGATGATAATTCAATTGGTGTCACCATCTTGAAACACCGACTTCGGTGGCTTGGACATGTTCTACGAATGTCGTCCCAGAGAATTCCACGTCGTGCATTACTTACCGACTCTGGGACTGGTTGGAAGAAGCGGAGATGTGGTCAGTGCATGACATGGTGTCGTGGTATGAAAGAAAGCTGCAAAGGACTGGCTTCTGTCGGTCCTTCACGACTCCCTGGTTGGGGTCTGAGAGATGGTGCTACACAGTGACTAGAGACGTTATCAGATATGGCTCAGAATAGAAGCCAGTGGCGATCCTGCTGTAACCTTCTTTTACTTTCTTCATAAAAAGTGGTTGTGTCTCCCTTACCTGAAAGATTTCTTCTGATTGTACCTTTCCGTTCCCTCGTTACTACCACACTACCTTACACCAATCTCTTCGTTATCGTTCTCTTTTTCTTTTGCGCTCCTTAGTTTTTTTTTTCTATCTCTCTTCGAATTTTCATTGTTTTGTGTGGCGCATATATATTGGCGCTCTCTTGTACCAATATTTATGTATTCAAATAAATAAATAAACGGGTTAATCTAAACCAGACCACCAATGGAAACCTGGAGACACTGGACAGCCTTTTCGCCCTACTATGGAACTCCCCAGTAGTTAGCATCCACGACCTCATACACGGAAATCAGAACCATGGACCTTTAATCCCGCGCGCGAACGCACAGCCTGTAAACCACTGAGCCGGCATCCAACAGTGTTAGTCCAACTTAGCTTCGATTGACCTATGAGTTCAACTGTTGAAGTACTACAATCTCCACAAAACCCCATAATGATAATATTATTTATTTTTCAAGCTATCGCTTTTTCACACTGAACTATAAACCCTATTAGATGTTCCACTTCCCATCAAATTGCTTTCAGTCGGCCTTAAAGCAGTTGCTATTAGGGCACTGAGGTCACGCTCTCAGGTCACTAAGACCACCTCTAACCCTATTTCCTTCTCATGTACCTCTGGAAGAACCCTTCCACGGTGTGAGCAACTAAGAAATGACAACCGCCCTTATACCTCTAACAGTACTCAAGATCACTATATTCGTGATCGATCTCCCTCTTTAATTCCTATTATTCCCCCTACCTCGACTTTTAATTCGAAACTTCCCTTTTTGACTTCCTTCTCAAGTGTCACCATGGCCAACGATTCTAGTGCGCAAAACACTGTCCCAGGTCTACTGAAACCTCGCTCCAAATTTATTTATTTGAACACATAAATATTGGTACAAGGGGTCACCAAATATATATGCGCCACACAAAACAACGAGAATCCGAAGAGAAAAAAAAGAAGGTAAGGAGTGTAAAAAAAGAACGAAAACGATAAGATCAGTATACGGTAGTGTAATAATAACTCTGCCAATAGCTATTCTAGAGTTACTCCCGGTCCCAAGCCCGGGTAAAGGAGGAGGGTTGGGCATGGGGTTAGCGAACCCATCCCGTAGAAAACTAACTCGTTAAAAAAACGCTTACCAGAAAAAAACAATTCAAACTATTTGAACTCCGCCCTTGTAGTAAGAAGGTCTTCATTTAGAAGAATTATGACGCCTCATGATGAAAGCCGAGTTCTTTCGGAAGCCACGAGGTCGATGCCCCTTCTAACAACCAGAGCAAAAATTTTTATAGGTACATGGAACGTTCGAACAATGTGGGAAACCGGGAAGACCAGTCAAATAGCAATGGAAATGAGGAGATACAACTTAGCAGTACTGGGAATCAGCGAAACCCATTGGACCCAAGCTGGACAGAAAAGGCTAGCTACGGGAGAGATGCTGCTATACTCCGGCCACAAAGAGGAAAATACTCCACACACTCAGGGAGTCGCTCTTATGCTGTCCAAAGTAGCACGAAATGCACTTCTAGCATGGGAATCTCACGGATCCAGAATCATCAAAGCATCATTCAAAACAAAGAAGGAGGGGATCTTAATGAATATTATCCAATGTTATGCACCCACCAATGATAGCAACGACGACATTAAAGATCAATCCTACGAGTGGCTGCAATCAATCATAGAGCATTGCCCAAGAAAGAACCTCACCATTCTGATGGGAGATACAAACGCCAAAGTCGGAATAGACAACACTGGATATGAAGATATTATGGGACGACATGGACTGGGAGAAAGAAACGAAAATGGAGAAAGATTTGCAAATCTATGTGCATTCAACAAATTGGTCATAGGAGGCACAATATTTCCACACAAGCGTATACACAAGGCTACATGGATCTCACCGGACCACACTACAGAGAACCAAATAGATCATATTTGCATCAACAAAAAATTCCGAAGGACAATGGAAGATGTGAGAACCAGGAGAGGCGCTGACGTAGCTTCAGATCACCACCTAGTTGTGGCCAATTTAAAACTGAAGCTAAAAAAGAACTGGACAAGTGGACAAACAGCACTACAAAGGTTCAATACAGCCTTCCTTCGAGATACTGACAAAATGAATTCAAGATAGCTCTCAACAACAGGTTTCAAGCCTTACAAGATCTACTGAAAGAAGAAGAAACTAGTATGGAGGATAACTGGAAAGGCATCAAAGAAGCATTAACTTTAACGTGTCAAGAGGTTCTGGGTCTAAAGAAATACCATCATAAGGAGTGGATCTCTACAGAAACACTGGACAAGATCAAAGAAAGGAAGAACAAGAAGGCAACAATAAACAACAGCCGAACACGAGCAGAAAAATTCCAAGCACAAGCTTAATACATAGAAGCAAACAAACAAGTGAAGAGGAGCATTAAAGCCGACAAGAAGAAATACGTGGAAGAACTAGCAAAGACGGCGGAAAAAGCTGCAAGAGAAGGAAATATGAAACGGCTTCACGATACAACGAAGAAACTAGCAGGGAAATACAGTAAACCAGAGAGACCGGTCAAAGACAAAGAACGCAAGCCAATCACCGAAATTCAACAACAGAAGAACAGATAGGTAGAATACTTCGAGGAACTCCTGAATAGGCCGGCTCCAATGAATCCACCGGACATCGAAGTGGCACACACAGATCTTGCCATAGACGTCAACTCACCAACGAAGGAAGAAATCAGAATGGCCATCAGACAAATCAACAGCGGGAAAGCAGCAGGACCCGACAATATATCGGCTGAAGCACTGAGGTCAGACATCGATGAAACTAAAAACACAATTACCCTTCTATTCAAAAAGATTTGGGAGGAGGAATAATTGCCGATGAACTGGAAAGAAAGACACCTCATCAAGATTCCAAAGAAAGGAGATCTGAGCAAATGTGAAAACCACAGAAGCATTACACTAATGTCAATACCAGGGAAAGTCTTCAACAGAGTGTTGCCGAACAGAATGAAAGACGCAGTAGACGCCCAACTTCGAGATCAACAAGTTGGATTCCGTAAGGATCGATCATGCACAGACCAAATTGCAACACTACGGATCATCGTCGAACAATCAGTTGAGTGGAACTCATCACTATACATCAACTTCATTGATTATGAAAAAGCATTCGACAGTGTAGATAGGAGGATGTTATGGAAACTTCTTCGACACTACGGAGTTCCTGAGAACACTGTCAACATTATCCCGAACTCATACGACGGACTACAGTGCAAAGTCGTGCATGAAGGACAGCTGACAGATGCATTCCAAGTAAGGACCGGAGTCAGACAAGGCTGTTTACTCTCTCCCTTCCTCTTTCTTCTGGTGGTCGACTGGATTATGAAGACCTCGACATTTGAGGGAAAACACAACTCAGAACCAATTAGACGGTTTGGACTTCGTAGATGACCTAGCCCTCCCTTCGCATACACACGAACATATTGTTATAGTTCGATATGCTTGAATGCTATTACTGATGACCTTACTCGAACGGAACGAAGAATCAATGATTC